ATTTTAATTATGTCCAACAATGTGACATTTTAACCAGTCCAAAGAGACTTCTGCTTAGGCAGAAGCATTTACTGTGCATTGGAAAATACAAGTAAATACTACCCTGCTCCTCAGATAAATAGAAGATAGCCTACGTACATGGAATTCTTAGTAATGGCCCTTTGCCTAGACAGAGACCGTGAAGCTATAATTAACACTAAATTTACAGTAGCAAATCAAGCTTTAAAACGAATTGTCCTCCATTTATGGGGACTAAGATGGTATGTAAAGTTGTCAGTTGTCCCCCACTTAATTATTTGAAACCACAGTCCTTAATTAGAAGATGCAACATTATTAAAAGGCTGTCACAACCCCGCCAGATAAAAACTGCTGACCACAAGCATGTAGACCCCAAATTGGCGGAAACCAGAAGGTGGGTGACGCTTGAAACTTCACCTTGTTGCCAACCAATCAGAGAATTGTCCATGAGCTGGTCATGCACCCTGTAGCCCCCTCCCTCACACTGCCTTTAAAACCTTTGTCTCCTAACCAGCAACTTGGAGATCGTTTTAGGACATTAATCCACTATCTTCCCAGGTTGCTGGCCTCCTGAATAAAGCAACTTTTCCCATTTAAAAAAAAAAAAAAAAAGGCTGTCACATAACATTGGAACTCATTGAATGGCTCTATATCCTGACTCCACTTGCTCAAAATAAATACAGGGAAATTTTGTTATAACTTCTCTTTTTAATGAGCAAAAGTTAACCAGTGCCAAAGCTCCCTGGTTAGGTACTTCTGTAAGTTGCAGTAATTTCAAGTAGTAAATTATTAGGTGGTACTGAATAAATTCAGGACAGTACTCCTAATGGTTTAGAGCTGTCTAATCTCTTCCCAGATAGTTTGTCACTACTTTCAAGAGTTTTCAAACATTTAGGAAAAACCATAGTCTTTAAAATGTTAAGTTGAAAATAATTTAAGTTTAATTTGTGATTTAAATTTGTAAAATATATGTTTGTATTTATGCACAGGTATCTGTGGTTGGTGGGATTATGGGAGATTTTCTTTTTTTTTTTTTCTATGCTCTTAAAGATATTTTCCAAATTTTATACAATGAATGAATGATTTTTATAATCAGAAAAAGCTTCCTGAAACAATTGTGTCCTAAAGCCGTTAGGTGGGATAGAGCAAGATAGTCATCCATGCTGAGAGGCAGTCTGGCTGGGGATATTGGGGCCTAAGCAGGGTGAGGAGAATGTACATTGTGGGGGGCCAGCCTGGCAGGGGAAGTCAGAGCTGAAATAGGATGAAAAGGGAGTTGTGAAGGCCTGCAGAGGGCATCCCTATGGGATGGTACCTGATACAGGTGTTGAAGCCTAAGCCGGGTGAAAAAGATGTCTATGGAAGAGGTAGCCTAACACCAGGAGTCAGAACCTGAGTGAGGTAAGGAGGACATGTGTGGGGAGCAGCCTAGCATGGGGAATTCAGAGTCTAAGCCAGTGAAGAGGGCACCCACGTGGAGGAGAGGTCAGTGGCAGCACAGAGAGATTGGTTATGTACAGGGGGTTGATCAAATGAGTCAATGTATTGTATTAAGGATAATGGGAGCCAGGTTTCTGACTGTCAGTAAAGGGAGATGCAAATTAGAGTGAGAGAAATTAAAATGAACCCTGTGGTGTTGCATTAAAACTGGAGGTTTCAGTGTAAACTCATTGTTTCCAATAGATAGATGGATGGATAGATAGATGTTAGATAGATAGAGATGTAAATAGGTATACACACACACACACACACACACACACACACACACACACGCACGCATACTCACATACTCTGACTCTACGTTGTGCCAGAAGGAGGTGCTCAAAAAATGATAGGAAATGGTCAGAGGGACACAGAATCCAGCTTAGAAAGGCTCCCCCTAACCAAATCTGGGACGATTTAAGCACTAAAATAAATAAGGAAAATAATTGATTATATTACATTGAATAAGCTGAGAATCCCTGAGTCCATACTGATATAAATGAGTGAATAGATTAAAAGTTTGACAAGGAATAGACTATTTCCAAATACATTCCCACAGAATATTTATTAATTACAAAGAGGTAAAGAGGAATTTCATGGAAGAGAAGCCCGGCAGACAATCACTGATCAAAACGAACATCTCCTGGAAGAGACAAATTGAAATCATGTTCCCCCTGATAGGATGCAGTGAGAACACAGGGTCACTTCTGTGATATTCCTGTGAAAGATGTATAACTTATGGGGTCAATTTGTGGAGAAACATCAGACAGGCCCAAATTGAGGGGCATTCTATAGAATAACTGGCCTGTAATCTTTAGAAGTTCAAGATTAGGAAAGTCAAAGAAAGACTAAGAAACTTTTCCAGACTGAAGAGTACGAAAGAGAGATGAACTAAATGAAACTCCATGAGGCTAAACTGGATTCTTCTGCCATACAGAACATTTTGGAAATAACTGGGTAAACTTGAATGGGGTCTGAGGATTAGATGGCAGTAATGTATTACTGTTTATTTCCTTGTTTTCAGAGTCCTGTGGAGGTTATGTAGGAGAATGTCCTTGTTTGTAGGAATTACACACCAGAGTACTTGGGAGTGATTGGTCATCAGGTTGACAATTTGCTCTCAAATGGTTCAGGAAAAATTGTTTGTATTGTAGGTAACTTTTAAGTGTGTTTCAAAATTTTTTTAGTTATATAAAAAAATGTTAAATGCAAAGCATCAGCCAAACCTCAAATATAAATATTATTTTCAACTAACAAGGAAAGTCATAGTTTTAAAGATCTCTTACTACCTACCCTTAATACAATTTTAAAGCATGCTTACTTATTAGAAAATCATTTAACTACATAGTTTGAAATTTAAATCTGTATTCAAATTGATTGACCCCGTTAATGTCCCTTAGAGTTGGAGGAGTATGGGGAAGATTTCATCATGATTGCTTCATTTAATGTCTTAAAACTTGTCTTCAAATTCAAGTGATTAAAATTATTTCTCGGGCGTCCTTGGTGGCGCAGTGGTTGAGAGTCCGCCTGCTGATGCAGGGGACACAGGTTCGTGCCCCGGTCTGGGAAGATCCCACATGCAGTGGAGCGGCTAGGCCCGTGAGCCATGGCCGCTGAGCCTGCGCGTCCGGAGCTTGTGCTCCACAACAGGAGGGGCCACAACAGTGAGAAGCCCGCATACCGCAAAAAAAAAAAAAAAAAAAAAAATTATTTCTCTTTTATGAGTTGCTTATGATGTACCACTGTACCAGAAACCTAAGGGTGCAATAATAATAAACATTTATATTTTACAAAGCAGTTTCACAAGCATTATCTCATTTTATCCTACCAGTCACATTCATTCATTCATCAAAGATTAAAAAAATCATTGCCTATACTAGTCTCAGGAAGTAGGTATTATTATGCTTCTTACTTTATGGTTAGGAGATTGAGGTCACCACTCTTAAGTGCAGGGGCTAGGATTCCAGCTGCAGTGATGTGACTTGGGTCCTGGCTAAAGCCTGCTACCTTAAACTGAGTCATAACTTGCCTATGACCATGTAATCCCTCCACACTTGTTTCTTCGTCAGCAAAGTGAAAGTGTTGGACTCTATAATCTTCAAGCTCCATTCCAGCTTCGAATCCTAAAATTCAAGCCATCAATAATACTAACACTAACAACAACAAAGACAAAAAAACCCAAAAACCCATAAAATGAGAGTAACCTTAACTAGAAAAGTATATAATTTATATGAGGAAAAAGAAAACTACAAAAATTTCCTGAGATGTTTTTAATGACTTGAATATTCAGACTTGCATGTGTTTATTTTCCCATTCTCCTTTTTTGTGTTCAATTTCAGAGTCATTAATAAAAAGCATTCAGGTATGATGGTTTAGCGCTTGTGGAAGGAAGTTTTTATTCTGAGATGCTGAGTCATTAACAAATCTGCAGTTTCTTTCCTGAGATTTTTTTTTATGGGGGGGTGTTATTCCAGGGAACCCTTTGTTCTTTTTAATGAGGATAAAGACAGATGGGTTTGGAAGAGACTTTCTCTTGTTAAATGAATAGGTCACTGCTGCTTTTTATAGCTGGAGGCTGGCAGTCTTATGGGAAATAGGCATTTACATGGTTTTTCTTTGGGGGTATGGCTGCTTTATTGTTACTATGAATTTCTGTTTGCTTGGTCTGAATTGCACAGCACTAGGAGTAATATTTTTTTCTTCAAAGCTCAACATAACAGCTCATGAGCACTTTTCAAAAGAGAAGAAAGTTATAAAGGAGAAGGCAAGACTGTCACAGTGAGTGTTTAGACAGTGAGGCTGATTGTTTTCAAACAAATTTAATTCATTATATGCCTAGTAATGAAGACATCTTAATAACAGAGAAAACAGCCCCATTATCTACATGCCTCTATTAACCAATTTATTTTGTTTAGGTCAGTGGGCAGGACACCATCTATTACCAGAAATTTTCTTTTCATCAAGCCTGCCCCCATTAAGAATCCCGTTAAGCAACTTCAGCTGCCCTCCTGTTTAATTTCCATATTAACTCAGTTCAGGGATAGGGAGAGAAAAAGGCAGCTAAGAGGATATTGTAAGTTGTACCATGCCCTCAGAGGATTTAATTTGGTCACCTCCTTGGCAAGATAAATTAGTGGGAGGAGTTTACATGTGTTGGAAAAAAGGCCTAAGGAGAGGGAGGGGCAGAACTGATGGTGGATGAGGTAGCTTTAAAGAAATTTAGAAGGTTTTATTTTTTAACTTTTTTTTTTCTGATAGCTTTTGGTGACTTTTGGTTTCTCCAAGGTCTCTTTTTCTAAGGCGTATTTCAATTATTTAGACACAGGTAGTGATAAGAGTCCTTTTCTATACATAATAGTCTACTTTTAGGGCTATGAAATATATCTACATACATATTGGTATGTATATGTTTATATAAAGTACAAGAAATATACAAATGTTATTATTGTAAATGTTGACACTGTGACACTGAAAGTCTTTTTGTTTTTCTTCTGTCAAAGGTCCATGACTCCAGCTCAGGCTGACCTGGAATTTCTTGAGAATGCCAAAAAGTTGTCTATGTATGGTGTTGACCTTCATAAAGCAAAGGTAATGGTAACTTTGGCCTTTATTAATATGCATGTATCAGACCTGTGTCATATAATATTTCTTACCAACCTTTATCTGGGGCATTACAAAACGTTCAGAGGAGATAGTAATTCTTGTTGGAATTTTAAGTCTATCAGTTGAACCAGTCAAGTGTATTAAGTGTATCAGTTGAATTGCCCTTTTACAATTCCACCATCAGAACGAAGTTTCACACCTAAGCAACCATAAGGATCAAAAGATATAGCACCGAGAGCAAAAGAAATGATAATTTCCTAAAATGCAGATACACTTGAAAATATAGAGTGACAGTGAGGCATGTTTCACAGACAACATCACCTATATCAGAATCACCCGGGGTGTTTATTAAATATGCAGATTCCTGAGCTCCTCCCAGATTTAGTGAATTACTTTGGAGGAGAGGCTAAGTCTCCAGATTTAATGAATATCCCAAATGATCCTCCTTCATGCTTGAATCTGAGAACCATTGGCGTAAGGTAGTGGTTCTCAAAGTGTGGTCTCTGAACCAGCATTTAGCATCATCTAGGAACTTGTTAGAAATGCTCATGTCAGGTCCCATCCCAGTCTCACTGAATCAGAAACTATGTGGGTGGATCCCAGCAGTCTGTTTTAACAAGCTCTCCAGGGGATTCTAATGCACAGGGGAGGAACCACAGTGGCTCATTTGAGAACCACTGGGTTAGGGATTTGGAAACTTGAGCTTTCATCCTAGTTCTACCTAATACAACCTAACACAACGAATACTTAAGGGATGTCACTTGACTTGTCTCATCTTCAGCTACTGAAATGTCTGGGGCGGTTGAGGAGTTTATGAGAGAAAGAAAGGGCTCAAGGGATGATCTGAGGTTCATTTAGAGAAATTTAACTAGGATGCGTGTTGGGGAATCAAAACCATGTCCAGTGAGAAACAGGCAAAGGAATAGGGATACTTAACCCACAGAAGGGAAAGTTTAGGAAAGATATAATGTCAGTCTTCATGGATTTCAAGGATTAACTTGTGAAGTAAAGATTTTACTATGGCTCCAAGATACAACACTAGAGCCGGTAAAATGAAAACTGCAGGGAAATACTTTTCAGCCCAGTTGGACAAATTGTCTCACAGAGCTATTTCAAAGATGGGATGGGCTACCTCAGAAGGGATTGAGTTTTCTATCACTAGAGATATTCCAGGTTAGGCAGAATAATCACTTGGTAGGAATTTAGAAAAGGACATTCAAACATTTGGTGGGTGATTGGACTAAAATGACTTTTCAGGTTTCTCCCAACCTGAATATCTGTATCTGAAGTTTCTTCCTTATTTACATTCTAGTAACTAATAAAATTTCATTGCATGTTAGTGAGTTTTCTTAAGATGTTGCTCTGGATTGTTTTGGGCTGGGTACTGTGACTTCTGTGACTCTCAAAAGCAGATGATAGGAAGATCAGATCAGGTTCAGAACTGAAATTGTTAGGTTTTGCTTCTCAATTTCTCCTGGAGGCTGGTGTCAATTCAGTAATTATCAGGATTACATGAGGAGTCAGGCAGCATATTTCTACAGCAAATGTTGTAAAGCAAATTGTTTCTCCAAAACATATAGTTAAAAGAGAGATGTAGTTGTATCCACAGCCTTTAAAAGCTTAAGGGGACATCTTCTGGGAAATTCTGTTATGTAGTCATTGAATTGAAGCTGAATATAATTTCTTCTTCTCTCTATTGTGCTTGTACATAACACACGTAGGCACTAATATGTTTCTTTATACTCATTTTGGGAAAAGGAGCAGTCTAGAAGCATATAACTCCGGTCTTTTATTACTTATCTAAATAAATGGTTATCTGTAGAGATTAACTCAGGTGAAATTTATTTTCCTTGAATTACAGACATAGATGATTAATATTATATATTTAATTAAAATTTTTCTTCAATAAAGAGGCATGCAAATATGGCTTTATTGGTAACTTACTGTTCCTTTTTGACCTGAGGATAATATTTATAACTTACTATACTTAAAAAAAAAACTTACTATACTTAACATCAGTAATTATAAAAATCTGAGTTCTCTCATACTGAGTTTATAAGGAATAGAGTCAACTCCTATACTTATGGTTTTTGGAGGGATGACCACTTTATCATAGAAAAACAAGAATTATAGTTGTGCATGTATATTTGGTAGTATACATAGCCCTATGCCCTGGCCTCCAGGAAGTCCTGGTGGTCTGCTGACTTAAACATACATGTATACGACATGCAGCTACCATAGCTACCATAGTAATTTTTTGCTGACTATGATAATGATAGCTTTGAGTACTTCAGAACTGGGAGACCAAAATGCCTGCCCTAGGATTTTCATATACAGACAGGCATGGTGAAAATAAATTAGTGTCTCTTTTTGAATTATTAAGGGAAGCCTTTTTTTTTTTATTCATTTATTTATTTATTGGCTGTGTTGGGTCTTTGTTGCTGCACGCAGGCTTTCTCTAGTTGCGGCGAGCAGGGGCTATTCTTCATTGTGGTGCGCGGGCTTCTCATTGCAGTGGCTTCTCTTGCTGCGGAGCACGGGCTCTAGGCCTGCGGGCTTCAGTAGTTGTGGCACCCAGGCTCAGTAGTTGTGGCTCGCGGGCTCTAGAGCGCAGGCTCAGTAGTTGTGGCGCACGGGCTTAGTTGCTCCGCGGCATGTGGGATCTTCCCCGACCAGGGCTCGAACCCGTGTCCCCTGCATTGGTAGGCAGATTCTTAACCACTGCACCACCAGAGAAGTCCCAGGGAAGCCTTTTTGGAGGCTGCAGAGGCTCAGTTTTATGAGAGGAGTGTTGTGAAGGTAGATGAGGTGCAAGCCGAGTGACATTTCACAGTGGCTCTGAGGGGTGGTGATGGTGGCTGTATTACTCCTCATAGCAGTCGATTCCTTCAGTAGGTAAGATGTGTGTATGTCCATGTTTCTTGGACAAAAGAAAAGCAGATGTTCCCTCAGTCACTAATAATGAACTAAATAATTGATAGTAATGGTTGAAGGTTTAAGCTTAGTGTATGTTGTTACTAAAATACCTTGAAATTTCCTAATTTATCAACCTACATGAATCAAGATTTTTATAAATATGAAGCAAAGAATTTACTAATATTTTCCGTAATAAGTTATGATTAATAATGTGGGCAGGGGCTTCCCTGGTGGCACAGTGGTTGAGAGTCTGCCTGCCGATGCAGGGGACATGGGTTCGTGCCCCGGTCCGGGAAGATCCCACATGCTGCAGAGCCTGCGTGTCCGGAGCCTGTGCTCTGCAACAGGAGAGGCCACAATAGTGAGAGGCCCGTGTATGGCTAAAAAAAATAATAATAATAAAAAAATAATAATGTGGGCAGGTAACAAACTCAGTGTAAACACTTATTGAGCATGTTGTCAATAACAGTATTTGGAGTGATATAGCAATGATTTAGATACAGTTTCCACCCTCAAGGACTGAATTTTAATTTTTTTATAGTTGTTTTCCTCATTATAAAGGTGATATATTAATAATATGTGTATATGTATATATATATATATATTATCCATACAAAATTGTATGTGCCTAGAAAATAGGATAATCCTGGAAATTATCAAATCAGTACTGGTTACTGTTAAAGAGTGTGGGAGGAGGAGGGTAGATTTTTTTGTAATTTTACACATTTCTGTATTGTTTGAATTTCTTACATACATGTGTTAGTTTTTTCACATTTGAATGCTTTTTAAAAGATAATACATGTTTATTGTAATTGGAAAGTATAGAAAACTGAAATGAAAAATTGTTCATAATTGCACCACCTAAAGAATGCCATTATTAACATTTTGGTGTATTCATCTTTCTTCTATGTATATTTTTTATATTGTTGGTATCAAATTATGTATGCAATTTTATCCTGCTTTATATTGCTTAATGTTACAACATAATTATTTTCCCATTTATCTCCCAAATTCTATTTAAGTTTTAATGGCCACATTGTATTTCACTATATGGATGAACAATAATTTAACCCTAATGCTTGGATACTTAGATTATATCCAGTTTTTCACTCTTATAACATTCTGAACATTATCATGTGTAAAGCTTTTTCTGTGATTTGAATTATTTCCTTAGAACAGATTATAGAAATAGAATTACTGAGTCTGATTTGGACATTTTAAAAATATTTGTGGTAGGTAATAACATTGATTTTTAAATGTAGTATAGTAACAACATTTTTACGTAGACCAAATAGTCCCGTGGGTTATGGTTGTTAGGTTAAACTTTATTTTTCATTGTATTCTTTGTAACTGTATTTGGTTGTTAATATCTTCAGATTGTCTAATAATAGTCGACTATGTTGAGCACTTTGCTCAAGACTGAAACGCTAATGCTTTTTTTCCGCAGGACTTGGAGGGAGTGGATATCATCCTAGGTGTCTGCTCTAGTGGCCTTCTGGTTTACAAAGATAAGCTGAGAATTAACCGCTTTCCTTGGCCCAAAGTGCTGAAGATTTCTTACAAACGTAGCAGCTTTTTCATTAAGATTCGGCCTGGAGAGGTACAGAATTTGTGTTTCCCTTTCCTCCTGAAATCAAACACAGACCATGTCTAAAACATCTCTTCATTCCTGTTTTCCTTGTTATGTCATCTATGAGGTCTCTCTATAGCTAACTGTTTAGGTGCTGATATTTTGTTTCCTAATCAGTCCCGTGATGCTTCTTCTCTTCCTTCCTATTTGTTTTCTGGACAGTTCTCTTCATGTAGGTAAATGTACCATGGCCAAAAGTGAAATTTGGATTAATAAACTTGTTCCTTGTTTACTCCAGGTAAAGGCTTGATGGAAAATATTTTTAAATTAAGTAGCATGAGATTTTTAAATTGTGGGGTTAAATTACTTATGTTTTATACCACCAGTCCCTTACCTTATATAATTATTTGTATATGTAGGTTCTAGTAGTTACTGGGAATGTGTCCTAGGGTCAAGATCTAGATTTTTAGTAGAGTTGGAGGTTCAACTTTGTACCAGATAACTCAGTTACTAGTTGGTGATCAATTTTCAGAATATACTAATGCTGGCCAAATTTAACTTTTATATTAAAGAGCCATCATGGTATAGCAGAAAGTTGTTCAAGTAGGAATTAAATTAAAAAAAAAAGTTCTAGTGCTTACTCTGCCACCTACTAAGTAAAAGACCCTGGATAAAGTGTTCCTTACCATTCAAGGGGGATAATACCTGCTCTGTCAAGGTTGATTTGAAGATCAAATGAGATGACAGAGGTGAAAGCTCTGAACAGGAAAGCATCGTACTAATGTAAAGAGGCTTTTTTGTGTATATATCACCATCTGCTGGTGAAAAATGGCTCATTATTTGAACATGGAAATACTGAATGTGCAGCCTTAAAATTTCGGATAAGGATTATCATTGAAGCATTTATTTATACCATAGTTATTTACCTGTGCCTAGCAAAGGTCAAAGAGTTTCAAATCCGAGAGTCATTCAGTCAACAAATATTTATTGATGGCTTTCTTTGTGTGAGACACTATTCTAGGGGCTAGGAACAGTAAATATCAATAGAAGAGTCCATTCCTCAACAATTTTTTTTTTTTTTTAACATCTTTATTGGAGTATAATTGCTTTACAATGGTGTGTTAGTTTCTGCTTTATAACAAAGTGAATCAGCTATACATATACATATATCCCCATATCTCCTCCCTCTTGCGTCTCCCTCCCTCCCACCCTCCCTATCCCACCCCTCTACGTGGTCTCAAAGCACCGAGCCTATCTCCCTGTGCTATGCGGCTGCTTCCCACTAGCTATTTTACATTTGGTAGTATATATAAGTCCATGCCACTCTCTCACTTCGTCCCAGCTTCCCCTTCCCCTTCCCTGTGTCCTCAAATCCATTCCTCAACAGTCTTATATTTTAATGTGGGAAGGCAGGAAAAAAAAAACCAACATATATATATATATATATATATATATATGATAATGGGAAGTACTTGGTTTCTTTAAATGTTAACTATATAATATATAATAAAAATGCAAAATTCTTACTTAAGAAAGCAATAAAGAACAACAGTAGGATTTTGAGAAGTGTAGTATAGTATTGTGACTACAACAGATGATTCAGAAGTAGCATGGTGTAGTGGCAGCCATGAAATTCTGGTTCTGCCACTTAATAGCTGTGAGACTAAGCAGGTGACTTCTCTGATATCAGTTTCTTCATGTATAAAAATGCAGATGATACTGTCTGATCATAGTGTTATTGGCAATAATAGGCACTAGAAGTAAATGTCAGTGTCCTTTCCATATTATAAAGCATGCTTAAGGCAGAAAAAAAAGAGGCAAGAGACTAGCAGGACAGTGTTTCCAGTAGCCCTGGCAGGATGTGGTCTACTTTAGTCAAAGAAGTATCTAGATAAGCTAATGATCAATCAAAGAAAAAAAAGGCATTTAATAATTCAGTAATCTGGTTTGAGCCACAATCTTTAGTTCCTATTACTAAAAACGATTGCATAATAATATTAGTTGATTGGAGGAATCATCTGCTATCCTATTCCCTGATTATTGAGTAGTCTAGTATCCTAAATACAGACAGTAACTAAGGAAGAGCAGTGTCTGGACAATCAAAATGTGACTTAATTGTGTCTCAGAATAATATACAGTGTATATGTGTGTGTGTGTGTGTGTGTGTGTATGTGTGTTTCTGAACAAAATAAGATGTGTAAACGATATAAGATGCATTCCCTGGCTTCCTTGCTGTGGAAAAAACCACTCTCAGTGAGTAAATTTCTTTTGATAAGTAGCAAAACATTTCAAATGATATTTTATGTCCTTAGACTAGTAACTTTCTTTTTATTCACAATGATCTCTTCTGCAGCACCATATTTCTCTGGTCCTGTATCACTGTAGTTGAATAATACTTTATGTTCCATGTTTGCTTGTGTATTTATAGCAAGAACAGTATGAAAGTACCATCGGATTCAAACTTCCCAGTTACCGAGCAGCTAAGAAATTATGGAAAGTCTGTGTAGAGCATCACACGTTTTTCAGGTATTGTTCTCACTTAAGTATTTTTCAAGGATAAATTATTTATGCATGCTTCTATTTTAAACCTGCTATTGAAATTTCCTTCTTTGCATGGCTGGCCGTCTTTTATTTAGCTCAGGTGAGATCATCTTAAGCAAGATAAAATGAGTCTAGTTCTCCTTCTTTGGGTTGAAAAACACTGTCTTAATATTCCCAGAGCACCTTTCTGTGTATGGTAGAAGGATGAGGGAAATAAGAAATAGGAACCTGTGTTTACTAGAGGCTCTGTGATTGCCCTAACTGGAGCTAAAACCAGTCTTGTCAGGAAGAGGTACCCTGACTTAGCTGCACATGGAATTTCTCTAAGGAGTGCTTAACTACTCTGTGGGACTCTTATACTCGAAGGTTAAAGATGTGAAGCTGATCGTTATCTTAGTTCTAATCAACCCCAGAAAGGGAGCACAGAGAACCATCTTTGAAGCACAGTTGTATCAGATAAACAGAAGACAGAAGAAAGTTTCATCTCCTTTGCTTTTCAAGAGGACATATAATTAACCCCTTGTGTTCACTTACCAAGCATTTTCTGTGCGCTTACCCTTTGTATAGGCACTGTACTAGGCATTGGGAATATATCACTAGATAGTTCTAGCCCCTGTCCTGATGGAACATAAAATCTAGCAGACAAATAATTACTTCTGTTGAAAGGAGAGCCAGCTAGTTGCCAGTTTGCCTTTTTAAGAAAATATCTTTATTATAGAAAATTGCATGTATAGCACAATGAAGAGAATAGTATAATGAACTCCTCTGGTCCCAAACTCCACCTTCAACAATTATCACCCCAAGGTCAATCTTGCTTCATCTATATCCCCACTCACTCCTTCCTACTACTTCTCAGATTATTTTGAAGCAAATCCCAGACTTCATGCCATGTTGTTCATAAATAAACTTGACTCTTTATGAATGGCTCTCAAGAGAGAGAATCATGATAACTTTTTCTTCTATTTGTAATTTCATATCATACTTAGCACTAAAGAACACTGGACAGAAAGACAAGTCAGGGAAAATAACATTTCAATTCTCATTTCAAATAAAACATGAGGCTACACCTTATATTCGATTAAAGAATCTTAATTATTGGCATTAAGATATTTCTTTATGTTTTCACCATCTTCTTTAAAACCAAGAAAATAGAGTTTTAAAAGAGGGTGAGGAAGAGTAAAAAGAGTTTTTTTCCCTTTTCTTTTTTTTGTGGTACGCGGGCCTCTCACCATTGTGGCCTCTCCCGCTGCGGAGCACAGGCTCCGGACGCGCCGGCTCAGCGGCCATGGCTCACAGGCCCAGCCGCTCCGCGGCATGTGGGATCTTCCCGGACGGGGGCACGAACCCGTGTCCCCTGCATTAGCAGGGGGACTCTCAACCACTGCGCCATCATGGAAGCCCCTCCCTTTTCTTTTAATTGAAGTATAGTTGATTTACAATGTTGTGTTTGTTTCAGGTGTACACCAAAGTGTTTCAGTTATACATATATATATTTTCAGATTCTTTTCCCTTATAAGTGATTACAAAATATTGAGTATAGTTCCCTGTACTATATAATAGGTCCTTGTTGGTTATCTGTTTTATATATAGCAGTGTGTATATGTTAATCTCAAACTCCTAATTTTCCCCTCCCCCCAAAAAAAGAGTTATTTTGAATGTTTAATATCTATGGTATAGGTTTCAGCTGCAGCCAATGCATTTACTTGTAGGATAGCATATTTAAATCCATTGCATCAAAATAAGAGGATATATTAACATGTAATTCTTCATTACATAAAAGAAAGCATTTGCTGAATTAAACTACCCCAAAGAGAAAAAAATACTCTTTTTTTGGTAGTATTTGATGTAGCAATTCATGCATTTATTCAGCAAATATTTATTGAATGCCAGATTCATGCCAGGCACTGTGCCCGAAGTGAAAACACAAAATGAATAAGTCATAGTCTTTATTCTTTACCCAAAGAGAGCTCACAGTCTCATAGTGGAGACCAGCACATAAACAGATTGTTTCAATTCAGTGTAGTAAATGCCGTGACAAAAGAGAGCACAGGGTACTGCTTAGAAAGAAGATGGGGTTCCTAACTGAGTTGAAAATACACCAAATATCCTATTAAATAGGATTTAATAGGCATTGAATACCAGGCATTGAGTTTGGAGTGCATTTGACAAAATTATTATTCTCGGAGAGGGGAAAAAGAGCTCTGGGCTTGAATTCCATAACTGCCCAACTTCTTAACAGCTATGACCTTAAGCAAATAACCTTCTTTGAGGTTCAGTTTCTTTTATCTATAAAATGATGAAAATATTACAGGGGTATAGTGAAAATAGTACAGTGCTGTAAAAGCATTTTGAAAACCATAAGACCCTACCTATAGAGATATAAGATTATATCATTAACATAAGCCACAAATAAATTATACATATTGCTTTGAGAAATGACAGAATTAAAATAATGATTGCTTGATTGGAAATTTGTCTTAGTAACTATAAGGAATCTGTGAGAATTGTGAAACTTTTTAATACTTGATTTTGTCTTTAATCTCACAACCTCATTAGAGTGAGATGATATATAATATAGTATATAATATATGATTATCATGTTTTTTCCCCCCAGACTGACATCTACAGACACCATTCCTAAAAGCAAATTTCTTGCCCTGGGATCCAAATTTCGATACAGTGGCCGAACTCAGGCTCAGACCAGGCAAGCTAGTGCTCTGATTGACAGGCCTGCCCCACACTTTGAGCGTACAGCAAGCAAACGGGCATCCCGAAGCCTTGATGGAGGTTTGTATTGAATATTAATGATTTCTTGTTATCCTAACTCTTTAGAGAGAGATAAAGGAAGAATGGTTATCAGATGTGATCGGGCACATTCAAGCTAAGTACAGTTATCTATAAGAGAATCAAATTAAAGAGTCTCAGTGATAAAACGAAATGGATTTTCACTAATTGTCGAATTTAGTGGAATCATCTTAAGAAAAGGAGAACAGAGGTTCAGAGAGAGTAGTAACTCGATCAAGGTCCCACTGCTGGGAAGTGGTGGATTGAACACCACTAGAATTGGAATTAGAATTCAGAATCTCTACCACAGGGTGACACCTAATGTAGTATACTGAACTAAACCCCTCTTGAACATTTTTAAATAGTTATTTTTCAAGTAGAAAAGAGGGAAGGGGTCTGCCTCACTAGCACAATCACTGAAAAAGTTTAGATCATTTGTCATGTGTCAATTATAGACCAAAAAAACAATCCTATTACTGGAGTGTCCAAATTTTGTTTAAATAAAAGAGGGAGGAAATAAAAGTTTCATAATTGTATATACTGACAGAAGATCTGTTTCAGTTTTTCTAAGTTTAGTCTCAAGGATTTGAGAGCATTAGCATTACTGAAATGAAGTAAAAAGCCACAATCAGTTCTTATTTTTTTTTTTGGCCCTGCCACGTGGCTTGCAGGATCTCAGTTCCCCTACCGGGGATTGAACCCGGGCACCAGCAGTGAAAGCACCGAGTCCTAACCACTGATCACCAGGGGATTCCCAAGCCATATTCAGTTCTTTATGTAGCTAGAAAGAGGTGGCAAATAAATAAAAGTTCAGAAGGCAGTAACTAAAATAGAGTATTGCTGATTGCAGCTCTATGCTATGTATTGTAAAAGCAAGGTGCATGTTACAGTAGTTACAGGCTTTGTTTCTGGAGTCGGACCTGGTTCCGATCTCAACCACTACATTTATGATCTATCTTCTTGGGTGAGTTACTTACTCTGTGTCTCAGTTTTCTCATTCGTAAAATGGGTATGATGATAATATAATATTACCTCAAAGAATTTTCATGAGAAAATAAATGAGATGATATGCTTGGCACAATGGCTGGCACTTAATGTGACCCCAAAATATTAGCTGTCATTAAAATATTGTTAATATTCTGGCCGCAGCATTATTATTTTGTTTTGTGTCATCCAGAACTATGCTGCCGTATTCTGGTTTGTTGCATTATGGGAGCATATATCAGAAATACCTAGCTCACTTTAAAGGGATCAGGAATGGGTCAGCCGCTCTTGGAAAAGAAATCACCTATGCGGTAGAACTTTTGTGCTTCCGTACCACGAGTCATGCTTCTTTCTTTCTGATGTTTCTCTACAAGGCAGATTGTAGGCTTTGTTTATTTACTCTTCATCACAACACTAGGAATTAAGCTCAGAGATTAAATAACTTTTCTTAAGATATGATAGCTGGTGGATTGGAGTATAGGTTGGTTTAACTCCAAAATCCATGTTCTACCAGATCCATACTTACTTACTGATTTGTTCAACTATTTTAAACTTCTGTGTGTCAGGTATGGTTCTAGTTATTGGGGGTACAGCTGTGAACATACAGACATGGTTCTGCCCTCATGGGGCTTACATTCTATGGGTAGAAACAGAAACAAAATGAAACAAGTTCAGATAGTGATAAGTGCTATAAAGAAAATAAAGCAGAGTAATGGGATGGAGAGTGTCTGTGGATGGGGAGATTGGGGAGCTGTTTCAAATTGAGTGGTCCACTCTAAATTTAGAAGGTTCCTCTGAGGAGCTTCATTTGAACTGAAACCTGAATTATGAGAAGGAGCCAGCCATCCCCAAATCTGGGGGGATAAACATTCTTGAAAAGGGAGTAGCAAGTACAAAGACCTGTAGGTAGATGTGAGCTTGGCATGTGTCTAGATCAGTGCTGTCCCATAGAACTTGCCATGCTGATGAAAATCTTCTATTTTGTGATGTCCAGTTTGGTAGCCAGTAGCCACATGTGGCCATATGAACTTGAAATGTGACTGTGAAACTGAGGAACTCAATTTTAACTAAACCTAAATAGTCACACATGGCTAGTACAAAGATCTACTCCACTACAGGGGTAGTAAAGCAGATTCTTGGTGAAGTCTGTTGCAGGATCTGGGTGAGAGATGACAAAAGTTTGGCCTTGCGTATTGGCGTTAAAGACAGTGAAAACTGGTCAGGGATACAATTCAGAAGTAACGCTGACAGAATTACTGGTAAATTAAGTGTTGGAGGTGGTAAGGAAAAGAAAATCAAGGTTTATTCCTAGGCTTGATCATTTACTACAATGGGAAAGTCTGAGAGAGGAGCAGAGTTTGGGGATGTAGCAAATCAAGACTTCTCTTTTGGACATGTTAAGTTTGAGGTATGATCACTCAATCCTCATATCTGCCATATTCATATAACAACCTCAGGCATCGCTTTCTTGTCCGGTAAATCACCGTACCTCCAGTTTATCTTTGTTTTGGGGAGTTATTATTCTTATTATTTTATCCCCATTTTTCAGTGAGAAAACTAAGGCTGGAAAGTTTAAGCAATCTGTTCAAGATCTCACAGCTAGTAAGTTCCAAAGCTTGAACAAAAACTCATGTCTGTCTGATACCATATGGCTTCTTCCACTAAATGAAATTTCATTGTTACATAGATACTATGCCTGATGTATCTTTTCTTTCTAGTAGCAAAAATAACCAACAATTCAAGGGTTAGTGAGCTTTGGTACTTTGAACAAATTAGAAATTATTTATTTTCTAACATCTTTATTGGAGTATAACTGCTTCACAATGGTGTGTTAGTTTCTGCTTTATAACAAAGTGAATCAGTTATACATATACATATATCCCCATATCTCCTCCCTCTTGCGTCTCCCTCCCACCCTCCCTAATGCACACCTCTAGGTGGTCACACAGCACCGAGCTGATCTACCTGTGCTATGTGGCTGCTTCCCACTAGCTATCTATTTTACATCTGGTAGTGTATATATGTCCATGCTACTCTCTCACTTCCTCCCAGCTTACCCTTCCCCCTCCCCATGTCCTCAAGTCCATTCTTTACATCTCTGTCTTTATTCCTGTCCTACCCCTATGTTCTTCAGAGCTATTTTTTCTTTTTAGATACCATATATATGTGTTAGCATACGGTATTTGTTTTTCTCTTTCTGACTTACTTTATTCTGTATGACAGACTCTAGGTCCATCCACCTCACTACAAATAACTCAATTTCGTTTCTTTTTATGGCTGAGGAAAGCTTTACTTATAAAGATGCTTCTGTTACTTGTAGAAATAACATGTTGACTGTCTCTATTTTTCTAGCTGTAGAAACCTCACAGTTCAATTCAAGATTTTTTTTTTTGCGGTAAGCGGGCCTCTCACTGTTGTGGCCTCTCCCGCTGCGGAGCACAGGCTCCGGACGCGCAGGCTCAGAGGCCATGGCTCACGGGCCTAGCTGCTCCGCAGCATGTGGGATCTTCCCAGACCGGGGCACGAACCCGTGTCCCCTGCATCGGCAGGCGGACTCTCAACCACTGCGCCACCAGGGAAGCCCTCAATTCAAGATTTTAAAAAACCTTGCTGTCTCTGTCTAATTGACTAATATTGGCCAGTTATATTAAATTATACACTGTGTTCCTGGTGGGAAATCTCCAAAAATTTGTCTTCAAATGTTGTAGCAATGTTTGAGTTTCCAAAACTAAAGCATGTAAAACAATTCTAAAGGAAGACAGTCAGAGCTTTGGTGGCTTTACCATTAGTATCACAGAGTTTTGGGAGCTTAGAAAAAGTTTTTTTTTTTTTAAGGTTTGTGGCAACCCTTCATGGAGCTAGTCTATTGGCACTGTTTTCCCAACAGCATTTGCTTACTTAGTGTCTGTGTCACATTTTTTTTAAAATTTAATTTTAGTTATTTTTTTATACAGTAGGTCCTTATTAGTCATCAATTTTATACACATCGGTGTACACACGTCAATCCCAATTGCCGAATTCATCCCACCACGACCCCCACCCCCCCCCCCCGCTTTCCCCCCTTGGTGTCCATACGTTTGTTCTCTACATTTGTGTCTCTATTTCTGCCCTGCAAACTGGTTCATCTGTACCATTTTTCTAGGTTCTACATATATGCATTAATATACGATATTTGTTTTTCTCCTTCTGACTTACTTCACTCTATATGACAGTCTCTAGATCCATCCATGTCTCTACAAATGACCCAATTTCATTCCTTTTTGTGGCTGAGTAATATTCCATTGTATATATGTACCACATATTCTTTTTTTTTTTTTTTTTTGCGGTACACAGGCCTCTCACTGTTGTGACCTCTCCCGTTGCGGAGCACAGGCTCAGGACGCGCAGGCCCAGCGGCCACGGCTCACAGGCCCAGCCGCTTCGCGGCATGTGGGGTCCTCCCAGACTGGAGCACAAACCCGTGTCCCTTGCATCGGCAGGTGGACTCTCAACCACTGCACCACCGGGGAAGCCCCTACCACATCTTCTTTATCCATTCGTCTGTCAATGGGAATTTAGGTTGCTTCCATGACCTGGCGATTGTAAATAGTGCTGCAATGAACATTGGGGTGCATGTGTCTTTTTGAATTATGGTTTTCTCTGGGTATATGCCCAGTAGTGGGATTTCTGGATCACATGGTAATTCTATTTTTAGTTCTTTAAGGAACCTCCATACCGTTCTCCATAGTGGCTGTATCAATTTACATTCCCACCAACAGTGCAAGAGGGTTCCCTTTTCTCCACACTCTCTCCAGCATTTGTTGTTTGTAGATTTTTTGATGGTGCCCATTCTAACTGGTGTGAGATGATACCTCATTGTAGTTTTGATTTGTATTTCTCTAATAATTAGTGATGTTGAGCAGCTTTTCATGTGCTTCTTGGCCATCTGTATGTCTTCTTTGGAGAAATGGCTATTTAGGTCTTCTGCCCATTTTTGGATTGGGTTGTTTGTTTTTTTAATATTGAGCTGCATGAGCTGT